TTTAATAGAATGTAATAATGAAATGTCAACAATATAATCCTCAAAAAGCATGGTAAGTTTTTCCAAATGCTTAACTCTTTTTTCAGCTGAAAAGCGTTTTAACTCTTCTAATATTTCAATAAAATTTTTTTTCTTCAATGTTAGTTGATGAATCTACTACAAATAGTAAAAGACCTTTTTTGGTTCTTTTTCTGAAACAACAGATTTTTGTAAGTAGCCTCATAGTGTAAATAAATCTATTCCTTAGATTTAAAATAAGTGAGCAAAAACTATAAGACATAATATGATAATTTAATTTGACATGATGTTCAATTTACCAAATAAAAATACATAAAAGCTTGCAATAGCACTATAAAGAGCTGCAGTAATTCCTAGCAATGTTATGACCTATTTATCAAAATGATAAGTTTTTTATAATGCTAATTTTTGCTTTAACTCAATTTGATCATGCATAATTACTACTTACCGTATCGCTTCTATTGTTGTGCATACAAGTATATTAATAAAACATAATAAAAATGTAAAAAAGTGATTTTATTAAAAAATTTTTTATTTTTTACTTTTGTTCTTTTTGCTCTTCTACAATAGTAGACCATGGTTGGATCTGTACTTCTAATGCCACATTATATTGCAAGCCAGAATATTGTATAGTCTCTGTGTTTATTAACCAAAAACAAGATAAAAAGATAAAAGATACGCATAATGATAAAGATTTTTAAGCTAAATTATATTACGAATATATGATTCAATGAAAGGTTGTACATAATAGTCAGGTGCAAAACCAATATAAGTAAGAGGTGTTTGAATTAGCATTTTTCTAATTTTTCTTGAGAAATGGAAAATATATGACTATTGATTTTAAAAAAAATAATTATTATAAGTAGCATACACTAATTTAAAATATTCGAAAATGATTCTATATACAGACTGATTGTCTAGTGGGAGGTGAATAATAATATACATTCAAATTATAAATTGATTTGAGAAATTTATCATATAGAGGCGGTGAATTTTTAAAATCTTCACGAAATGGATTATATTCTATATATTTATTTATTGTAATATTATTATAACTATCAAGTATGTTAAGACTTTTTACAAATTTTTTGCGAGAATACATTCCTGCATCATATGCATACATATACATAGATCCATTATCAGCGAAAGGATTGTATGAAGGATCCGTGATGTTTATTGAAATTAAAAGGTAGAATGGGTATGGGTTGTTTAGAAGATCACCCCTACCCCTTCTAGAGCCTAAAATTATGTTGCCCTTTGGTAAAAACAATCCAACAAGAGGGTTATTGGAGTCAAAT